AGGGCCGAGCCTGGGATGGGGGTTCAGCTGAGGCTGGGGGTAGGACCGGTCCGAGGCTGCGGAGAGTTCTGGTCGGAACAGGGGCCGGTGCGGAGGGGAGGTCCAGCTACGGCACCGGTGTGTGGCCTGGCCGGTTTAGGGACAAGGAGCAGGTAAGATGGGATGATGGGGGGGGGTGCAGGCTCACGGACCCAGGGTCTGCAGGAGAGGAGGGGTGGGGCGAAGGCCTTAAACCGGGAGTCAGGAGGGCAGCAGCGCGGGCCTGCGCACCTCGGAGCTGCGGTGCGCTGTTTGTGGAGGGGGCGGCTCTCTGAGGGGTGGGTGCGGCCCCAGGAACTGCGAGGCTGCTCCAGGGAATCCGAATAGCAGAGCTGGAGTCTGCGGTCGGTGTGGGTGGGCACGCTGACCTCTGCTCTTGCACTGCAGGAGCTGTCTACCATCGGGTGCTGATCGGCCCAGTTGGAGCTGTCCGCCCTCGGGTGCTGATCGCTATGGGCTGGAGCTGTCTGCACCTGGGGCTTATCCGCTCGCAGATGCTGATCCGGCACGAAAGAGCTGTCCCCAATAGGGGTGCTGATCGTTCCAGCGAAGAAGTCTCCCTAAAGCATGCTGATCCCAGCTGATGCCGATCAAAGCTGGACATCTGTCTAGGGGTAACTGATGGAGTCTGGATTCAGAGTTGGCCAGCCATATGCTAAAACTGAACCTTTAGTGCACAATACAGAATGGACTTTGAATGGAAGTATTGAGAGACAATGGGAGAACTTGTAAACCTGAGTCTAGGCTCAGTTAATGGGAAGTTTTTTGAGACCATCTGTGTTACTGGCTCTGTTTAGGGTATAGACATGCTCTTGTCAGGTAAGGAGCTCTGCGCGGAGAGTGATGGTTGAAATTGCAGAGCGGGGTTGATATGGACAAGTGGGAGGGGAAGAACGGGGGCGGGCCTTTGGCTGGAGTTTCAGCAAAGGGTGAAATGAAATTTTCTCTTTTTTTCCCAAGATGGAAATTGTATGCCCTGAATTCCGTGTCTACATGTCCTCTGGAAATTTATTTCTGAGGGAAGGATAAGGCAGTTGAGTGACCAAGGACTAGACACTACAGTGCAAAAGGAGCTGTGTAATCAGGGCACTGCCCTCCCTTGGGTGGCAATCTTTCCAACTCAGAGAGGGACTATGGCTGGGATATAATTGGTCTTGCCATCTTTTGTGTCCCAATCATTACGTTTGATCTTAATTACAGCGGTTTTTAGGAGTGGCATATGTTAAGTCTATGTTTCTTTTTGTAATGGTGAGGAGCTGCTAGGGGCAAAGGTGCTGCCTTTTCTCTTTAAACTTCCAAGGGCAGGGCCTGCATATGGTAAGGGCTCAGCAAACGTGGGTAAAGGGGAAAATGTGAATCGGAGGGCTTATGGGATCTAGTGAGTCTGGGACATCAGGTCTTTGTCATCACACTTCTTTTATTTGAGGGGCACTATGAACACTCCCTATATTTGAGGCTCAAATGGTCTCTATTAACCACTCTCTGATTTTCCCTATAAGACACCTGAGATCTTTATAGAACATAGGTTTGCCTCGTAACATCCCAGGTTTCCTTCTGATCCTCAGGCTCATTATCAAGCTGGTAACTTGGACCTAAATGATCCACCCAACACCCTTGGTCAGCCATGCCTTGACTTCTGATCAGTAAATGACTGGTGGCTCCCTTAACTCTAATGACTTCTTCATACAGAGCCCCCAAGATTCACCGTCTAGAATTGCATCAACCTTGGAAGTCACTGCAGATCATAACTCCCACATATTCTGCAAACGTTATCAGATGATTACCCCCTGACTCTAGGAGAAGTATAAATAGTACAAGATGAGGCTTCCACAACCCATTTTATCTGTGGGAGCTCCGTTCTTGCCCCAGAGCACAGGTGGATGGTCACCAGCTTTGGGGCCTGAGAGACTGTAGTGTCCATCTTTATTTTGCCACCCACTTTGTCAACATGAGCTAATTGCTCAATCCATCAGGACTTCCATTTCTTCATTAGCACAATGGTGCTTGGAGGGCACATGAGCCATGGAAAGCCCCAGCGTTAAGCCCCAGGCACAAGGTCTACTCATGGTCACTTAATGCTCATAATTCTTCTGCTCCTCACACCAGGTCCACCTTCTCCTAGCCGCCCAAACCACTCTGTTGACTCAGAGATATAGTAGTGAGAAGTTCTTTATTTCCTGAGGGGGTTTATGTTCCTTACATCATGCACCTTGCACAGATGACAGCACTGAGGTCTACAGGAACCCGAGAGATCCTTCCCATTTGTGGGCCACAGGCACTGCTGGTTTTCCTGCTGCCTTCCTGACTATGCACTGTCTGTCCTTCCAAACTCCTCCTTTCCTTTAACTCTGTGTGTGTGTGCGTGCGTGAGTGCATGCGTGCATGTGTGTGTGTGTGTGTGTGTGTGTGAGTGTGTGTATGTGTCTTGGGCATTTTCTGGCAGTGCTGGAGATTGAAGGATGTTCTGTTTTAATATTTTTTTTCTCCCTCTAGACCATCAATGGTGTGAACCATTAGTACAAAGCACACCACTGATTTGACTTATAAGGGAAAGTTGTGATAGCAACACATCTTCAACAGTCCCAACTATAGCAATCCTAAAGAGGACACAGGATTACTTTTTTTCCAGTACCAGGAAGTGAACTCAGGACCTTGTGCTTGCCAGGCAGGCATGGCACCACTGAGCTAAATCCCTAGCCCAGATGCAGGAGATTTTCCAACAAATTTCACATAAATTAGAAAATAAATAATTGCAAATTAACCGTCTTTTATTCTACTCACATTGCACAGAAATCAAAAACAAAATAAAACAGCAATGGCCAAAATGCACACAGAAATATTTACTAAAGAGGAAAAACTGAGCTGGGGATACAGCTCCATGGTAGGGCAGTTCCCTAGTATGTAAAAGTCCTTGGGTTCAATAACCAATACCACACATATAAAAAATAAAGAGTCACACCTTCCTGGAGATGCTGTCATGACCAATAACTTCACTACCTTCTGAATCTTGATTTTAAGGGTTTATTCTCTGACCATGACCTCCTGTTTTTCTTGCTATCTTACTGTATTACAATACTCCTATTCTCTCACCCCACAAAAAATGTGTGGCACATGCCAATGGTGTATAACAAATTATCCTCAAATTTAGTGGGCTAAAAATACCAACTTACTCGGTTTACAGTTTGAGGTCAGAGACTTTGGAAGGACTCTGATGGGAATTCTTGCCAAAATTTCTTTAGGTCCAGTCAGGGGTGAGTTGGGCTGGGTGTCTGCAAAGGCTTGTTGTATAGGAGACCTCCATGCCCAGTACTAGTGGGCTATGAGTGGCACATGCTTCTTACCTTCCATAATTCGGCTATACTGTTCTGTATCAGGAGTCGAAATGAATCCCTGCATGAATCAAATGGGGATGACAGCCAGCAGAGCTGGGCTGGAATTGCTCCTTTGCTAATGGCTGTCACTGAGGCCTAAGTCCTGGTCTGTGAAGTGGCAGGACCCTGCTGAGTTACATGCAGCTGAGATCAGCGTGACCCCAATTAAAATCCCTTCTCCTAAATCATCACCTCTCACTGACCTTGTGGACTGCATGCTAATTGTGCTTGTTTGCAGTACCGGTTTCTCCTATCCTAGCAAGATAAGCAGTGCCTACTCCCGGACAGCCCTGCCTGATGCCATCGTGCCAAGTGTTCTGTAGTAATTCACTATATGCTTTCAAAGCTCCCTATTCCTCCTTATGATTGTATTCAATAAATACTGGATGTGCTTGGGGGCTTTTCTCTTTGCTGCCATCAGCAGCACTGACCAGGACCCAGGATTCTCTTCACTACAGTCTTGTTCTGTTTATTTTTTAACCTTTCACTGGTGCTGTGGTGGCTCACAGGAGGCCAGGACCTACTGCAGGGGTCTCCAGTGATGTCCAATTCCCTTGACCCTTACAGTCTTACCCAAAAGATATCTGCTGGGAGCTCAATGAGGTCATCCCCAGCACCTGCAGTGGCCTTTCCACTGTTACCTTAGGGTGGTCGAAGGCCAAGCAGAAGCTGCATGACCTCTCCTGACCTACCCTTCAGAGTTACGTGGCGTCATTTCTGCCACATCGCTTAATCACAGCAGTCATGGGCCTATACAGGTTCAAGAGAGGAGTCCTAGACCCATCTCTTACTGGGTATCGAAGAATTTGGTAGCTGCGTTATGGGAACACCACAAACACCAGTCCACAAGCCTCCTTTCTCATTGTCCACTCGAGCCCCTTCTTGGAACTAACCCCCTCTTTTGCACCACCAGTTTCTTCTCTTCTGGATTCCCACCGGCACACAAACACAATCTGATGTTAAAGTAAATGGTATATTCTTCTCTCTCTTTG